TTTGGAGGATTCAAAACAAGCCAAATGGGAACCCATTCGAGCGGAATATTTGAAACTAAGTAAAAAACATTTCGATACCATTGAGATTCACATCATGACTCCTTTAGGACAACCCATGCCCTTTGTAAGTGGTAAATCAGTGGTGAAACTTCATTTCAGAAAAGTATACTGAGATGAATGTACCGTTGTTTTGTTCCATCTTATTGGGCGTGATGGTTTGCCTGGTCTGTTGTCTGTATTGTATTCAGCCGTAAAGGTATAAAAGGAAGTCCCCAGAGGATATAAAGGTCAGTTGAACAAGAGACATGAACCATGGAGTATCATCCCGGATTACTGAGACAAAGAGGACACGGTTGGACTTCTCATAAAGGTTTATTACGTCAAAAAGGCGGAGCAGTAGGTTCTATCATCTCTGGATTGGTGGGAGCCCTTCCCTTGGATTCTACAAATTTTTCACCCCTACTTCCTGCTACACAATTACTCAAATTGGGTAGGATTTTAAAAACTCACATGAAACCTCAAAAAGGAGGAAATTTTTTAAACTTCCTCTCGGGAGCGGTCCCTAACTTACGCATACCGGGCATAGACCCAGGTTTGACTCTCAACGACGCGGCCCAGTTAGCCATGGGGCCACAAAAAGGTCGAGGTTTTGTCAAAGATTTACTCCAACATGGGAAAAAACAAGCCATCATGGCCGGAGTGAAGATAGGCACAGATGTGGTGGGAAAAAGAAAAAACATCCGAAATGCTCTTTTAACCCACGGACTCAATGCGGCCAAAAATACAGGTCTATTTGCTTTCAATCGAGGAGTCTCTTTACCCTTTAGAAAGAAGAAGAAGAAGAAGAAAGGACAAACAGGTCAAGGAAGAAGAAGAAGAAAAAGAAGAAAGCAGACAGGGAGAGGAAGAGTTCTATTAGCCCGAGAGGGTCCTAAGAGAAAAAGGAAAAACAAGGAGGAATTCCTAAAAGAAAACGTCCTTTAGATGTGTTTGACTGAGAGAGAGAGAGTATAAATAGGACAGTCCAGGGAACAGAAGGTTCATTTGTGAAAACTGAAGCCTAGTAGACACATCATGTTACAGCCCGATTCCTGTGGGTGTGGGATGAACAATTTACAATTGTTTCAAGTCCCTCCAACTAATATTGCTTTAGAAGACTCGAAATGGGAAGAATATTCCAGGGACAGAGAAGAAGATTTTCCATTTCCAGTACTTTAGATTCCGACACCGCTCCCATCGAATTTGAAATTAAAGGACAAGGAGATCACTATCTGGATTGATCTCAAACTTATCTTCAAATGATATGTAAATTTACCAAAGACGATGGAAGTAATCTGACTGGGGCGAACAGCACTTCCAGTCCAGTGAATAATATCTTACATTCCATGTTTACGGAAATCGATGTCAGTCTGAATGGAAAAATAGTGACTCCAGGGATGGATACCTATCCTTACAAAGCTTATCTGGAGAAATTATTGTCTTACCGACCCAGAACTTTAAAGACACAGACGAGGGCCTGTAGTCTGTGGGAAAAAGATACGGCAGGACACATGGACGAAGTGGGAATAGAGGACCTTGGTGTAGCTCAAAATAAGACCTTTGATGTAACTAAAGGTTCAAGTAAGGATACAGTGACCATTAACGAACCCATCCTCACAGCGTTACCGGCCAATTCTAAAAACGAAGGATTCCGAAAAAGACACCAAGCTATTGCTGACAGTAAGAAACTCAGTTTGCTGGATGGTTTACATTTGGATTTGTTTCAACAAGATCGATTTCTACCTAATGGAGTGGACGTCCGTTTGCGATTTAATCGAGCTAGACCCTCTTTCTACATGATGATCAAAGGAGGAAGTACAGGAAAAGTGAAAATATTGAGTATGATCTTGTGGGTGAGAAAAGTCAAACCCACAGCAGTCATGATGAATACCATTAATCAAAGTTTGAACACCCACAGAGCCAAATATCCCCTGAGAAGAGTGGAAGTGAAAACCTTTACCATCCCCATAGGGACCCAGTCTAAGATTACGGATCATCTGTTTCAAGGTCAGATGCCTAAACGTCTCATTTTAGGCTTTGTGGAGAATGCGGCCTTTAACGGAGATAAAACTAAAAATCCCTTTCATTTCCAAAACTTTGGGATCAAGAAATTAGATGTCAGTATCAACGGAGAAACCATGAGTACTCGTTGTTTTGAGCCTAATTTCAACGACGATTTATATCTGAGATCATATCTCAGTCTGTATCAAGCCCTGGGAAAATTAGGAGAAGATTGGGCTCCAGACATCACCCTAGAAGAGTATAAAAGCGGCTACACTCTATGGGGCTGGGATTTCACTAAAGATCAAGAAGCGCAATCGGATAAATTCCACATCATAGAAACAGGAAATCTGAGAGTAGAAGTGCAGTTTACCAACAATACGGCTACCACCATCAATTGTGTGGTGTATGCAGAATTTGATAACCTATTAGAAATTAACAAACAGAGAGAAGTGAGCATTGATTACTAAAAATGGATACGGGACAATTGAGAGAAGTCTTATCCAGAGAATTCAAGAGTTCTTTTGGAGGCGTGTATCCTGTAGATTTATTACCGGATCAATTAAGACCTGGAGAAAAAGCTGTCGTGGTCAATACGGATCCTCAAGATCGACCTGGAGAACATTGGGTGTGTCTATATGTGAGCAATCCCGTGGTGGAATATTTCGATTCTTATGGATTTCCTCCCTTACAAAAAGAAATTCAAGATTTTATCCAGCGTCATGCTCAACAATGGATTTATAATCCGTATCGCTATCAAGACTGGAATACCGACGTGTGTGGACAATATTGCGTGTATTATTTACATCAAAGAGACAAGAAAAGAAAGAAAACCGACGAGTGGCTATTCCCCTTTGACCAGAGTACGGCCTTACAAAGGGACAGATACGTGGCGAATTGGTTTAAAAACACTTATCATAAATTACCTACGGGTCATGGACAAAAGTGTCAATGTTTTTATCAAAATGTATTGTAAATGCATTGTTTGCTGTTTGTTGTTGTTTGTTTGTTGTTTGTTGTTAATAAAGAATGAAAAAAATCAAAATCTGTGTTCTTATTATTTATGTGTTAGTGTTTTCAGTAAAAAAAAAAAAATCCAGTTTGAACTGGTTAGGCTAGGCTGAGCTTTGACTGTGAAGTGTGACGTCATAATAACATTCTTGACTCGCTGCCAAGTATTTACCTGTGTAGTCAGCATTAAAAAAACGTAGGTAAAACGTATGTTTTGCACACGGCCCTTATCTTTCAAGGTGAGGGGTATAAAAACAAGGTGTTAAAGACGATCTTCCTCAGCTGGGGGCATGTGGTTGATAAACGACAGTTTGGCAAGCGAATTCCTAGAATATTAGAAGAAGAAGACATGGAGATGGATAAAGATAAATTTGCTTTATTAGAAAAGAGAATGACGGAACCTATGGAGGGGGATCACGAAGCTCCTCAAACAAAAAGAAGAATAGAGTTGAAAACCCTGGATCCGGAACCTAAGAATGAATATTTACCCCTGCATGAGCCTGTGAAGGATCCTAAATTTCCAGTTAGAAGTTACAGGACAGCCATTAATTGGACTTTCACTATTAAAGAGCCCAAAGAAGAAGATATAGACATGTTTCTGAGCAACCAAGATGATTTCTTCTTCGGTTTCCAGTATTTGATTATACAAAAAGAAAGACATCCCTGGACAGGAGAACTGCATCAAATCAGGGGATTCATTCAAATGAAGGAACCAGAAGGAGGACTGACTATGTGCAGACTTCATATCGCTGCCAATTTTGCTATGTCTCACAGTACCCCAGAATTGGAAAGTATGTTTTACAAGCAAGGAGGTGACTATGAAGAATATGGTGTTCTGAAACCTGAGGAGAGAAACAAGGAATTGGAGCCCAGAGATTGGATAGAATGGGAAATAGGAGCTTGGAAGAAACCTGAAGCTATTGCAGCCAGAGAAGCTATGAAGAAAAAGTTCTTAAAGAATGTGAGCTGGTCAAGATGTGAATAAAAAAAAGATTGAACTGTTATTTATTGTTAGATCTCAATAAAAAGAAAAAAAATATTTGAAATCTTGTTTTATTGTGTTGTTGTTGTTGTTGTTCTATAAAAACAAGGGTGTTTTAAAAAATAGATTCATTTTACATCATGAGTCTCCAGGAGATACAAGGTGATTTACTTAACTGTGAGGTAGAAGCTATTGTTCATCAATGTAATTGTTTAACTGTAAAAGCTCATGGATTGAGTCAAAGTATTGCAGAGAAATTCCCACAAGCCAATCTCTATGCCACCCGCAGACCTCTAGGGACTAGAAATTTAGCTGCAGAAGAAGATAGAGGAATTCCAGGCACTATTAAGGTGTTTACCTCACAAACCCCTGTAGTTATTTGTTTACTAGATCAATGGGATTATGGAAAAGCAAGTCACCGACCTGAAAGAATTTCCACTTATCAGGATACCCCACAAAACAGAGAGCAATGGTTTCAAACTTGTTTACAAGAAATGGGGGAAAGTTTACCTTACCAGACTTATGCTTTTCCTTACAAGATTGCCTGTGGACTAGCAGGAGGAAATTGGATTCATTATAGACATTATATTGAACAATTTGTACACACTTATGAAAAACATGTGTACATTCTTCATCATCGTTAATTGTGTGTTTTCATGTGATGTAAAATAAAGAAAAAAAAAGTACCTTTTATCTGTCATACTCTAAAGTCTGTTTAAACAGGAGAGAAGGTCCACCGCAGTCCCCATGCACTCATAAGCAGATCTCGGGGGCAGTAGAAACACTAGGTAGTTTTCTTTCCCCTGTGATATAATGTCAATATTTAATGGAAAATTCAGAAATTTATCAGCACTTAAAGATAAAAACTTGCTATCTTTATGGTATTGATTTCCATTATCAGATTTATTTTTATCCATTTTAAAATATAAACATTTAAATAAAACTAATAATTATCTTAATAATAATAATAATTAAATAAATAAATTAAAATGATATCTCATTGAAACTTTTAGATTCAAGTTTGTTTTGTTTTTATCATAATTGATTCACTGTGTATTTCCAAAGGAAGACCAGCAGCCAGGCTTCACTTCATAGAGAATGGATTATAGATGGTTAGGAACAAAACATATCTTCCAGGTTGAGGACTGTATAGAAAAAAAATAAAACCCATTTTGTTATTATGATTTAAATTACATGAGACAATGCCTCTTATAAATGTAATGCAAAATAATATCTCTTATATATATGGATACCTATACTCTAATCAATCATATTAAATGTCATTTGTAAAATGTATTTTTTAAGACAGATTTATTTAGGATCGACTTTAAATGATGACATGAATAGCAGGCCATACTTTAAGCACATGACAAAACATTATCTCAAATTACACAGAAATGGGTTATTTAGCATAGCTGACATTAAACATATAGGTGAGCGATAACATAATCACAATCATAAACAATGTGAAACAACTTTAAACGACCTACACGGTGGATTACAAGCCTTTTTCACTGGGGTAAAATCTTGCCGAGATTCGCCATGGCCGCCGAACCCGACTGTATAAAGATGAAGTCATACAATAACATAACACTGATGTAGTATTACATGATTTTTTTAATTTTATTTCTTAAAAACTATAAGGGGAGTTTACCAAAAAAAAAAAAAAAAATTAATAAGAAAAAAAATTTAAAGTTATTTTTAAAAAGTTAAAAGTTAAAAAAATTAAAGTTAAAAAAAAAATTTATAAGTTATTAAAAAAGTTATAAAAATTTAAAAGTGACCTGGTGTTATAACTTGAGAGAAACACACACAATGTTTCTTGTTTTTACCCACTGTATAAGGTAATCTTTTCTTTTTTTTTTTTTGAACACACAACCGTTTCATTTCTTTGACTGTATAAAAAAAAGATCATCTTTTTTTTTTTCTAAGATACAATCGTTTCTTTGACTGTATTTTGAAAAAAAAAATCTTTTTTTTCTAAGACACAACCGTTTCTTTTTTTGACTGTACAGAAGGCATCTTTTCGAAACAATTGGGCAGCCCTTAAAAGGGCTTTTTTTGTAATTTTTTGGTTTTTTTAAATTATTTTTTTTTGGTTTTTTTTCATTTTGGTGTCAGGTTGCGTCCAGGTGGGTTCCCTTTTAATGGCTCAATAAATCGTGGACCATCTGGCCAAAGTTCTCATCTGAATCCGAATCGGAACTGCTCTGGTTTCTGTTGAATTCCGGCCTCCGGGAAAGGGGCTGTACGATGGGGTCAGCGTTGCGACAGAGGGGGCAGGGTAGTCTTTGCTCGAAGAGCCGGGCGGCACACAATGTACATGCTGGCCTCTGCAGGCATCTGCTGCAAAAGAAATTGCTGTCTTCGTTTTCCGTCATACACAGGGTGCACAAAATGGGTTGTGTTGGCACCCTAAACCCCCAGCGGGGAATCCTCCCCTGGTTCCTGGCCCTGTTCTGTAAAGCCACAGGTCTAGGTAGCAGCGCTGGAACAGCAGGTCTTGGCGCGGGAGCCCGTGGGGGTGCAGGTGGCGACCGGGATGGTGGTCTGTGATAGGGGTGGGCTCTGCTCCTCCGTCTCTCGTTGTTCATCTGCACTCGCAACATATCAAAGTGACAGATCTCACGCCCATTATCCAATCTTCTTACTATTACTTGATGTTCTACGGAGATGCCGGGTATAAGGTACAGTATAGGTCCTCATAAAATTGGTTTGCCATCATCAATGGTGTAAACTGCAAATCAGCTACGAAGGAATGACACTGAGCGCTCGGAGGGTCTGTATTTATAAACAATAGCAGACGATCGTGCAATTGCGACAAAACATCAACAATCCAATCACGTGATCAAATGTGATTGGCTAAAACAAAAAAATCGCTTTTGATCATGTGATCAAAAAAAGCCCCACCACAGTGACAAAGCGAAATTGAGGGAACCCGATCCCGAACCCGACTGTATATGACGTCATACAATAACATAACAGTGATGTAGTATTACATGATTTTTTTTATTTTATTTCTTAAAAACTAACAAAGCTTCTAACTGTCGAATTCTCCTCCGAAATCGTATTCGATCCGCTACTAATTGCATCCAGGGACTTCTCCGGTCTTCGGGGGGTAATTCGTAGATTTGATTGAGGCTGGTATTAAAAGTCACTGATTTCCTAGCCTGTGTGAAATTTCCAGGTATTTCATTCCGTATTGAATACATACTTTCTCCATCGCATCTATGTCCTGCCACAGTAAAATCACTTTGGCCGCTTGGGGATGGGTCAGGAAACTGTAAGGCTTTCCGAAATAACGGGTCAGGTTCAGTCCGTACCATTTCTGGGGCAGAATTGTTTTCATATGTCGACATAGAAAATGTATGGTAGCTAGTCTCCCCATGGTCGTCGCATGATGTGATAAGGCTAGGCATTGTAACCATAAATCCTGAGGGGTTTCCATGATAGTGCTCGCTTCCTGAAATACTTGTTCTGCCTCCGGGGATAGAGCTTCTTGGTGGTTCTGTGCCCATCGTACTAAACAATCATATCCATCTAAAATCAGAGAGTGAGTGTGTATCAGGGTTGACATGATAGTCGATTGTGAAGAAAGGATCAGACTTTCCTTCTCATTTATACCCCGTATAAAACGTAGGTCTATCGTATATTTTTTGCACACGGGCCCTTGACTTGAATCGCTGCCAAGTATTTACCTGTGTAGTCAGCATAAAAAACGTAGGTCTATCGTATTTTTGCACACGGGCCCCTGACTTGAATCGCTGCCAAGTATTTACCTGTGTAGTCAGCATAAAAACGTAGGTAAAACGTGCACACGGCCCACAGCAGGTATATAAAGCGGAGCTGGGATTTGAGGATCAGTCATGACATTTCGAACTTGACGTGAAAAAAATATTATGGCAGAAGCAATGATGAATACTCCAGACAACCCCAGCTATGTGACACCTGAAGGGTATGTAGGAGCCCCCATGCCAGAGTCACAGGATGCAGTGGGATTTGATTTGGGCATGTATAATCTTCCAGAATATGCGAATAAAGAAGATATGGGCATATTAAATACAACTCTGGATGGGATTGTTAACATGCTGTCTAGTCTGGATAACAAGATGAATGATATGAACAACAAGGTGAGTGATCTTAACAACAAACTGAATTATATTGCTGAGAAGGTGCGACATCATGACAACAAGCTGACTGATCTGAAAACTTACAACACCAGTGAATTTTGTTTGATTCGTGCCAAATTATCCAAATTAGAAGTGAAAGTTACTAACATGCAAGACAAAATGAGAGGAGGAGGAGGAAGCACTTACCAGAAAAAAGAAGGACAAGGGGAATCGGGAGAAAAAAAGAAAACTAGACAGACGGATCCATGCTACATCTGCAAAGAGTAAGGGCATTGGGCCCCAGATTGCCCCAAGAAAGATTTGTGCTACAAGTGCGGGAAATTTGGCCATTGGGCTAATAATTGTACAGAGGATGAGGAGGATCAACAGTTCGTAAAAGAAGTACAAAAACTGGAGAAAAAGCCTCAGGAACCCACGACTTCAGGGACCCACCAGACCAAACCTCTAGTGAAAGAAGGAGACAAAAAAGAGAAAAAGGAACACAACAGAGAGAATCCAGGACCCAGCACTACTCACAAGAGGAAACTATCCCTGATGACCGATAAGGCCCAGAAGAAGAAAAAGTAATTGTTGTATTTTTTTACTTGAATAAAATCTGTGTTCTTGTTTCTATCGTGTGTTATTGTTTTTTTTTCCATTTTCGGAAAATCACTGTGAATGAGTGACGTCATAATCAAATTCTTGAATCGCTGCCAAAATCGTAGTAGCAGCGTTGTGAATCGTAGTAGCAGCGTATAGTAAAATGTAAACACAGTGTAATCACCCCCGTATTTAGGGGCTATATGTAATGAATTGACCCCCCTATCCCCCACAGACTCCCCTAATCTGCACTCCGTTGAACCCCCTATCCCCCAGGGCCTAAAAGTGCATTCCGTTGAACCCCCTATCCCCTCAGCCCCAAAAGTGCACTCAGTTGAACCCCCCGGCCAGGCCCCTTATACTACTAACGTAATTCATATCGTCTTATAATTACGTATTCCTCTTTATACCTATAAGTGGAAATTTTAGCGAGTCGCAAATTTAGCGATTTATCCTTAAAAATTTGTATTTCATTTTTAGCGATAAGCAATTTTAGCGATTACAACATGCTCACTAACGCAGCTATTACAAATTGAACGCAATGAATTTTTAGCGATATTCAATTAATTAGCACTATCGCTAATAATGCCAAAATTATATTCTCGCTAAAATTTCCACTTATACGGAAAGTGGACTGTAAATCAACTTTTATTCACCAGTATTTTTTTTTTTTGCGATTTACCGCGATCAAAATAGTTCGCGACCATTTATTTTCGCGACGAAACCTTTTTGGGGATCTGTTGCAAATAGACACAGAGACTTTAGGGACTGCGGAACCAACATGGATGGAAAAAAATAGAAAAAAAAATAATGTCAGTATGCAAGTTTGGAAAACTAGAAACCTTACAATGAAAAGAATACATCCAAGGCAGGAATATTTCCTATGCTCTTTTTTAAACCTATCTCAATTCTCTTTTTCTCATGTCTATTTTTTATAGTTCTAAGAGCACTTATTGCATTTAGCGAATTCCAGTCGAAATTCGAGCCTGTAAAGCGAGTTGAAATACTCGACATTCAATTGTTTAGAAATAAACTAATACAATTACAAGGGAAACCATTATATGTGGCATCGTTTATTAAAAGCGGCTAATTAAAAATCAGAGATATTTGAAACAGTGGTGGTAACTGTTCTAAACACAGTAGCATTATACTTAACAAATCGGTAGACAAAAGATGCTGGATATTTGAATAGTAAAAGAAAAGCTGCAATACCTAAACCATATTATCGAATACTGATAGGACAAAGTTTGTTCTATATTATTGAATAAAAATCTCTTATAAATTAGAAAATAATTTTCTCATTGAAAGAACAACAAATAAAATAGTAAATAATAAGATATTAGATTAAAATGCATAGAAAAAATCCTAATTAAGAAAACAGTACTAAAATGTCAAGAAAAATGGGAAAAAATATTACAAATTAAAACATAGTGAAAATTAGTTTGTGAAAGCATAACAAGAGTAAAATTAAAATTCACGAATTTCAATGGAAAGGGATCCATAATATCTAAAACGAGGTATATTTTTGCCAATCAAGTTGATGAAACAAGAATATCAGGGGCTCGTTTCTTATAAAAAGTCGTAGATTTGGGCTTAAGTTAGTCCGACTAAAAAAGTAACGCCAAAATTTAGAGGGGCCTAAATCGCGTTTCAGAAAGCGGTGTAAGACTGGGCCTAAAACTAAGACCTTTCCGCTAGGTACTAAGCATGCGCAGATCGCATTTTATTTGGTTTAGAGACTACATTGACATATGGCGGATCAAATTAATATCACACTTGAACCTAAACAAAGGAAGTAAAGCATAGGAAGCACGAGAACACTTTCATATTTTCCCTTTTAACCGCCTTTCAAACAGATCTATTGTGATACGCAAACCCATCTGTATTTTCAAGTTCAAAGCATTAACATAATAGCGGATTCAGAAATCTTGAAAAAGGGGACATATTGGGGTCAGGTAAGGCGCCCACAGCCACACTAAACAAAACTGTCAGATTGGGTAAATCTTTATTATAATTTTGGACACAGCCTCCCTCCCCCTCTACACCCACAAGTGTTATATAAGATATCTACATTAAAACCAGATAATGTACATACATGATTATACATACATGTACTTGCGAAAATTTGGAATTAAAAGTAATTTTCCTATGAGTAAAAGCGTTAGGGGCTGGAAAAGGCTCGTAGTAAAAGTTTGAAAGTTGGGGTAAAGGGGGGGGGGGGCAACCAGTATCGGAAGGAAATTTTTTCTGTAGTTAAAATACTTTACGCATATAGAGAGAGAAGGGACAGAGCCCCCGACCAACAGGCGTACTGTCCAAAATTTATCAGTTATGAAATCATATTATCATAAAAAGAATTATTACACATGGATAAGAGATTTTTAAAAAAAAAAAAAAATGATCAGTTGTCTTAAAGACCTATATATGGTTTTCCTTGGCTCCCGTTTTTGTTAACGTTAAAATTTAGACGTAAATAAACCTCAATGAAATTTATGTTTTGTGAAAGAATATATATATTCATATATTGATTTAAGTAGTATGCAGAGAATTAAAGGTTTTAAGTGCCTTAGTTTTAAACAAAACTTCAAAAAATGACATTTTTGACACAGTAAACGACGATTTTATATACGTGCAACGCCTTGAACAAGAAAGAAATATACATGTAAAACATTTTCTGAATGGGGGCCTAAAGTGGTCCATACCACGTAAGTATTATTCTTTATAATTTCAATCAAGTTATTCAGTATGAATTAGACATATATTGGCAATCGGCTTCGCCTCGCCCAATACGGATTTCCATTTCACACCCTGTATGAATCCGTATTAGGTCACTAACTGACTGTGTAACTAATAATATATTCATATATTGATTTAAGTAGTATGCAGAGAATTAAAGGTTTTAAGTGCCTTAGTTTTAAACAAAACTTCAAAAAATGACATTTTTGACACAGTAAACGACGATTTTATATACGTGCAACGCCTTGAACAAGAAAGAAATATACATGTAAAACATTTTCTTAATGGGGGCCTAAAATGGTCCATACAATATAAGTATTATTCTTTATAAGTTCAATCAAGTTATTCAGTATGAAGTAGACATATATTGGCAATCAAGGTGATACATGTACCTGTATTTATGATATATGTATTACATTTTGGACATACAGTTTTACATTGATATCGTTATGATAATTTACATAGGCCATGTAGAAATATATATACATGTGTATATACACAATTTGCATTATAACACACGCATTTTCAATTTTAATGGAAATATTTTAGAAATTTATGAAAATTACCAGATTTATTGCCTGTAATATGGTTCACAAAAATTCGATTTAAAACTATTAAGCTTTTGCAAGGCATTAGAAAAAACGATTAAACCATCTTCACTTCTCACCTCTCGACAAGGAGTGAACAGTCTTATGAACAGAATTTACTTTAAGTATAATACACGAACATTTTACAAATTCAAATTTTTATGTTTTATTAATATTATGTTTAATACATGCAATTAAACGGGAAAATTAAAGAAGCATTGACTTTGTTGATAGCATGGCATAGTTACCGAATATTTCTCCTTATCTAAAATATATTTTTAAAAATGAATAATGTTTGAGGATTTATTGAAACATTATCCATTTCAAAACAAAAAAAATTATCCGGGACCTGGCATCGTTTTAAAAAAAAGTGAATGGGGAGGGGGGAGGTTAAGTAATTGAGTGAAAAAAAATATTCAGCCGAGAAGAGAAATGCTGAAGGTGGGCATCAGCCCATAAATAATGTAAAACAACACCTTTTTTAAACAGAAAACGTATTATTGCAATAAAAAAGGGAGGGTTGCAGCCCCCTCCCTCACACACAACGTG